GCTTTCTTACAATATATTTTACATTATTGCTGTTAAAAATGAATTCACAACAAAATCGAGAAACATAGTCTTGAATTTGATTTGATTTTTATTGTGAATATTGCATTTGTATTACAAGTAAAATGAGCATCTGATTCACAAATTACAAACATTTCTTTAATATAAATCGATTGATCTGACTGATCTGGCTTTGGTACACTTTGCTATCAATGTAGTTTTATTTTATTTTGTGAAGCACCTTGTCACTCTGGTTTTAAAAAGTGCTGTAAAAGTAAAGTTTGTTATTTTTATCTTTACATATTTAGCTAAAAATAACACCAAACATTGAAAGTGTTCATTTCTTTATCAGTGAACTTTTCCCGGGGTAAAACATCAGACCTTTATGTCTCTGCAGTATAACTTCATTCTGTGGTAACAACACTCGATAATCGTTGTGAAGTCGTTGTTGCTGCTGCAGGTCACTGTAGCCATCCTGCGTCCTCCCTGTGGCGCTGTAACCTAGCAACAGATGTAACCTGAGCAGCAAGCCGGAGTAAACAAGCAGCATAACTACTGACGCTCCTTTTGTTTGGTCTTTTTCAAGAGACTGAAAACTTTTGCCTCAGCTGCTTTCACGCAGGATTGTTTTCAGATTGATTTGAATTAAAAGCAGTAAAAGAGATAAAATGCCGTCTCATATCATGCTCTCTTACCAGTGGGACGACCAGGCTCTGGTGAAGAAGATCTACAACCGCCTCAGAGATGATGGGCTGCCGGTGTGGATGGACATACAGGGAGGGGTGACAGGGAACATCAATGATGCGTAAGATTATATATCTTCTTATATCTTTGGGAGTGACATAGATTAGGACGCACATGTATTCAGTCTGTGAGTGTTTTCAGGATGGCTGCAGGAGTGGAGGAGGCCGTAGTGATTTGTCCCTTCATGACCCCGGAGTACCAGGCGTCCCGCAGCTGCAAGAAGGAGCTCAACTACGCAGAAACCAGGGAGGTCATCATGGTGCCCGTCATGCTCGCCAAGAACTGGGAGGCCAGTGAGTGGCTGGGGCTGATCACTGCAGGTCTGCTGTGGGTGGACTTCAGGTGAGGAGGCCTCTGAACGGAGCAGGTGGAACATTTTAAACCACTTCACAAGCTTGAGAGGATGAAAAGTGACATTTAAGTGAAGATCCTGCTGCAAAATTATATATAACCACAAATAAAACGTGTTTAATTATCATTCACCTGGATCAATATTCCACCCATACATCACTGTGAATGCTGTCATGTTGTAGAAATGCAGAAAAGGATGAGGAGCACTTTGAGATGTGTCTCAGATCTCTGGAGGAGGAGATCATGTTTAACGCCGGTCACCTCCTGGCCGTGGAGGAAGCTCTTAGAGAGGAGGATGAACCAGAGTCGTTGAAACCCTGTCTGAAAAAGAAACCAGGCCGAGGCTTCCGTCACGCCCTCTCCAAGCTCTACATCCACGACTCAGGTACATCAACAACGAACAACAGTCAACATCTACTAAAGGTCGGTTCAGTCAAAGAACAGATTAAGAAGAATAAAATGAAGCAACATTCTGTTCCAATGAAATCTGTGGATTATCAAGATTAATTGGAACAGAAACTAGAATTATCTGTTGGAACAATCGCTCCTGAAGAATAAGTTTTCCTGACTGGATGTTTCCAAAGCTTGTTTTTGGGCTTTTAAGTCATTGTTATTTATTTATGTCTGTTTTACAGATATATTATTTCAGAATACATTTTATTTATTTATTCTATTATTTAATTTGTTGGAACTGTTTTTACATTAATTAAAATGGAAAGTTTTTACTTTTGTCCTTTAAAGCACTTTGTGTTACCTTGTTTGTATGAAGTGTCTTTTATTGATTGATTAACACTAAAAGGAGGTGGGAATACATTTCTGTAATATCTGTAAACTCTTTAATCTTGGTGTCTCTCCTGAGATCTGACCATTAAAACTAAACAATAATACAAACCTACAAAAGTCATGACTTGTTTTCAGGCGAGCAGATGATCCACCCGACCGCTGAGAGCAGAAACACAGTGGAGCTGAGTGAGACTGCAGGAGATCACTGCTACTGGGAGGAGAAGAAGGGTAACGGCTGTAAATACTACAGGAATGTCGTCACCAACAGATTCCTCGGTGAGTAGAGAAATTCATCTGCACTCAACAAAACAAACAACAAGAGTGTGAAAAATGTGATTTTTTTTTATTAAATGAAGTTAAAGAAATGTGACAACGCAATCCAGAAAAAAGGGCACGGTTATTTTTTCCACACGTCTGTACAACTGGTAATTCTTTCGAGTCAGGGCAAAATGTTTCTACCATTTCTCAACAGTCTTTTCCCTCTGCAGGATTTGACTCCAGCAGGAACCAGGTCCACTCTGAGGTCAGTCCCTCTACGTCTGAGGAGTGGCTGCTGTTGGTTGACGAGACAGACCAGAGCCACAAGAGAGCCGTCATCATCAAGAACAAACGCTCAGGGAGTTTCCTGGCGGTTCGAGACGGCCACTTCATTGGACTGACGTCGTACGACGAAGACTGCAAGTGGTTTTTGGAGTAAAGCAGATATATCGCTTTCTTGAGGGGGATGTGATGAACAAATCTGCCTGACGATAAACTAGCAAAACTTGATGGGTGTATCTACAACAGGAGGTTTGGTAGAAATACATTTTAAGATTGTTACTGTGAGAAGAACAAATAAAAAAATCATTAGAATCTTTTCCTCTTGAGGATTTCTGGCTTCCAGTTGATCGGATGACTTTCTTCTGTCTGTAAGAGAGAAAACAGATTCCTCAAATTATGTGAAGACAAGCACAGAAATATAAAGCGACTGTGAATTTAAAGGTAAAACTTACAGCGGTGTCATCCTCTCTGTAAACTTTGATGGTCTTGTCGGCCTCGGCGGTGATCAGTCTGCTTTCTGAGTGGTCGAACATGCAGGCGAAGATGCCCGACTCGCTGTCCAGAGATCCAGGCTGCACAGCTGCGTGGATCCTCTGGAAGTTATAGCCTGTTCTCCAGTCCCACATGTGGATGGTTCCATTATCGGCTTGAGAGAAAAAACACGTGTTAAGACTAAAACATATTCTACAGATGAAACAAGTACTTTAAGGGGGATAATAAATACCTCCAGACACCAAAACACCATCTGAGTTCACAGCCAGAGTGTTGATGATAGCGTTGTGTCCTGACAGGTTCTGGATGAAGTTGCCGTCTGGGAACATCCACTGCTTGATGTTGTCAGCAGAACCAGAAGCAAACGTGTATCTGTAACGAACAACAAATGAATATCGACTGTACCTAGAAACCATGTCCTTCACGTAGGACTTAAAACTAGTGACCACATTTCATTATTCGTTTGGATCAACATTGTTCACTATAAAATGCAGAAGAGCTCATTGTGTCTAAACCTAAATCTCAAGTTTATTCTATTGAGAATAAGTTGGAGAACAGCAAACATTTAGTATTTGACAAATAATTTATAGCAATAAATCAAATATCTCTGTATTAATTTCCTGTGGAGTGACTACAGACTGAAAGTTAATAGTCAGTGCTACACTCAACATCACACTTACTGTCTCGGGTGCATCACCAGAGTTCGGACAGATTTCTTGTGGTTGGTCAGGGTGGCTCTGGTTTTTCCAGCGATCAAATCCCACAGCCTGATCGTTGAATCGTGGCTGCCTGTAAGAAGTTACACAGTCTGGGATTAACAGTACAAACCCTCTGACCTACAGAGTTCACACAGCAGCGATAAAGACTTAAAATGAAGGTTATGGTTCAATATTCCTTGAGTTTGTAAAATGTAATTTACCAGTGATGATTTGTGGCTCCGCAGCTTGACATCTCACTGTGGCCACGGTGTTGGTGTGGCCGGTTAGCGTGTGCACGTTAGCTTTCGTCCTGATGTCCCACACCTGCGTGGACAGAGAGGAAATCCAATTAGTGAAGTTAATTAATCCTGCAGGGGCCGAATTTACTTGAACATCATATTGACTACAGATGGATTAACTACAGTGTTGTGATGGAAGTTTGATCGCTACAAGACTGTTTGAGACACTTGAACAAACGATCTCATCACTTCATCCATTTAACACAGGACATGTAGTTTACCCTCGCTGTGGCATCTCTGCTGCACGTCACCAACACGTCAATGGTGGGATGCAGATCTACGTCATAGACAGCACTCAGGTGTCCGTGGTAGTGTCTGATGACCTAGAACAGATTTATATTGTCATGAGACTTCAACAAAAAAAATCTCAGTTTTACAGTGACTCTCTCTGAGTGACTCATCACAGCGACATACTTTGTTGTACTCCAGATCCCAACATTTGACTTGCTTGTCTTCACCGCAGGAGAACAGGTAGGGGCTGCGGGTGCTCACGGCTACACCACGCACCGTGCTGATGTGTCCGGTCAGAGAGAGTTTCAGTTTCCCACTGGCCAGGTCCCAAATCTGTAATGACAAACAGCATTCCAGTCATATTAAGTTCCTATAAGAACATATCCAGACATAGTGTCTCCAGACTGTCTCCTGGGGCGACAGGAGGAAATAACAAGGTTAGCTTGATGTTGTTTTTACTTTTTCCCCTCTTATACGTCAAGATCATCACCTACCTTTCTGCAGAATATCAACATTTTATACACAGCATAGTTATTCAAAGACTACTGATACATAATGTTATTATTTTCCACTATATTCACCTTAATGGTTCTATCAGCAGACCCTGTGACAAACCACTGATTCCCAGGTTCCACAGCGATGGACCTCACCCAGCCAAGGTGACCACTGATGACCTATCAGATAAAACACACGGCTGTTACAAACACAGAGTATAATTCAGAGCTGACTTAAGCGTGTGTGAGTATAAACAAATGAAAGAAAATATTGCATTAAGTTAAAAATGATCTGCAGTTACCCGAAACAGTTTCCACGGTGGGTGCCACTGGGGCTTGGGCATGGTCGGTCCTTTTCTCATGAGCGCAGAAGTTCTGGTGCCACCTCCTTCCATGAGCGACTAAAATAAATACATTCTTCACATCAACTCTGAACTTCTTCTCACACCAAGGATAAACAATCCATCTTCCATATGAAGCGAACGCTGAGTTACAGTGTGACCTACCACAGCAGTGGAGTGAGGGTGAGATCTCTCTGCTCCTGCGTGTCGATGGATGTCACCGACACTGGCTGCAGTGCGGCTCAAGTCCTGTCTGAAACACAACAACAACCAAAATAAGTACTATTGGTGTTCTTGTGAAGTATTTATGATGAATTACTACCATCAACATCCTCAACTTCTTCATTGTGGTCTGAAGGTGGCAAGGTGTGTACCTGGCTTGTGAGGGTGGCAATGCCAACGCCATGGAAAGGACTCCTCCCTCACTGGGATTCCTGTGCATCTTTGTGTCAGCGGTCAAAGCCACTCCTGTGGAGTGAAACACTGGTGTGATACTGGAAACACTGGAGCAGTTCAGTGAATTGATGTAGGAACAGTCGAGGTATGAAGCTTGCTTGTATTGTACTTACCAGGTCCAGAGGGGTAAGCATGTGTCCCGGTGATCAGGTATTCTGGGTCATCTATTGAAACACAATAAAAGAAAATATGTCAGTGTTCAGAAGAAGAACTGTGTTTTAGACGAGGAACTTACTTTAAAATTAATACAAAACAAAGTAGAACCGCATCGTTTCTTCAGACACTTAGTACAGGATATACATAAATGGGATTTATTGACATTTTGTGCTGGTCGGCAAAAGAAGGCATCTGACGGGATCAACGTCCTCTCCTAACCTTAAATGAAACTGTTACTATCACTAGTTTTTAATCAATAGTATGATTATATCAAAGTTAGCGTGCAGTGTTGAATTCCTCCTCACCTGGCGTGTAGCTCTGGAGGCCTTGCATGCTGCCTGGAAGATGTGGGACTCTGTCTTTGCCTTCCTTCAGGACGGGCATGTGTAGAACTGCTCCATAGTCTGCTTTGAGTTTCACACCCAGCTTCACCTTCTGGCTACAAATGCGAGAAACCCAAATTACTTTGACAAGGAACGAGATAGATGCGTATTTATGTATGTATTCCCACATATCTGTCATATGATGATGCATAAATCAAAAGTATCCTAAATATTACAGTGATAACGAGCACTGGGGATACTGCAAGTCTTTACAAGCAGCTTTACAAACTGTTATCATTTGGTATTAAAATGTTAACAAGTAAATAAACTTAACACAGAATGAGGTCTGATATTTTAAATCTTCCATCTGTTATTAAACAACATTTAAGATCCTAAAAATCGGTGAAACTTTCTTATAGATTAGAGAATTAAATCTCTGTACTGAACAAAAACGAGCAGATCGCCATCACACTAAGTAACCAGATCTCTTACTTCAGGAAAAGTGGAGAAATACTCATTACTGCGTTCAAAACTTGTATTAGAATAACAAAATATTACAAGAACCAAAAATAACACTATGAGCAGAATTTTCAGTACCATGTATTAGCTTGTGATTACTAAAAGCATTGACGTGATATATAACTTTAATGTCGCATCTGGTCAATCTCATTGTGTAAAATAAAAACAGTGGAGTTTTACATTCATCTAGAAACTCAATTCAAGATGTGAGACACTTTTAAGGGACGAGGACAAACAGGACATTTGTATTTCTGGTACCTCTCGTCGTCCTGTGCGATGGACTTCGCGTGGTCGGACACAAACATGTCGTGGGTCCTCTTGAGGGACCTGAAGACCAGAGTGTGGACCGAGTGCTTCTGGACGTCCTGCGGAACCAGACACGACTTTTAACGAAACACAGTTCAACTTCACTTCACTTCGCTTGAGACCGAATCGTTCGTGACCCGCACCAAGACAAGAAAACGTAACGCTGCCGCAACGAGCGCCAGCAATTAGCCGGGCCCGACTCTGCGGGGTTTAAAGCGGGAGCACAGACGACAACAGACACAGGATAACTCCAGACGCGGACTCACCTCCGTCATTGTTGCTGCTGAATAAACCGATGTGACGCCGAAGCTGCTTGAAACCGTGAATAAAGTCTGTTCACGTCGCTCCGCGGGTCTGAAAACCCGGAAACCACCGACACAGAGCGCACACGATGACCCGCTGCACCGGAAGTACACGGCACAAAGAAACTGTGGATGCGCGTGAAGCGCCCTCTACCGGCGAGGAGGGTAACATCTACACTATTTTTTTTAGATTTAAACCTTTTTTTCCCACTTCATTAGAATCAAAATGTACAGAGAGCTGAACATTTAAGAACTAATACATAATTAATAATTGCTCATTCTTATATTATAAATACCAAAGATAAATGTGGTTATTTATGTATACATTTACTTATTTTGTCAATAATTAAAAGGCTGAAACAGACAAGATATGTCCCTAATATCGTGATAGAATGCACATCTTGTCCTATGTTCTGAAATAGTGGCCACATGCAGCTTTCATGGTGCTGCCATACAAGCCAGTAGCCAGTCACATTTACCTTCAGCCTCAGTGTAGCCTCAGGTTCAGCCTGTGTTGTTGATCCCTCACATCTGCTGGTGGCTGCCAACACCTGCTGAACACTGTGAGACCTTTAAAGGATAATCACCTTCTGGTCCTTTATTCCAAAAATACTTATTTTGTCGAGATGTTGGTTAACATTTTTGCCACATTATGTTTTTCTTGTGTTGTGTTCTCATCGAGGTTATGGTCTTTCAGTGTTTGTTGTATAGACGTGTATATTGATGTGTATTTTAAAATGATGTATGTAAAGAAAAACTCATTTCCACCTTTGCACAAGAAAAATCAAAATGTCCTCATTATAAATTTTCCCTGTCAATAAACAGTAAATGTGGTTTGAATGAGTGTAATGTGCAGTGAGCTCGGGCCAAAGTTTGCTTTTCCAGTCTTTGTGTACTGGGCCATGTTTGCCTAACAAAGTACATGGATTTAAGGTTTTCCAATACTACCAACCCCCAATAGTTTACCTAGTAAGAGACATAGTATGATTTACCATGTCTAGACATAATAAGACCAGAAACAAACAATCACATATAGCAGTACAACTATCCTTGCAAATTTTATTTCAGTTGAATCTGATCTTCAGACTTCAGGCAGTGGTGAACTGCATAATATAACCAGGGTTAGACCTTAGCTATTTTGGCACAACCATCTGCAATGAGCGAGATGGAATTTGAACTTCACAGGTAGTGAGTAATACCATGCATGTGTACAAGTACAACCAAGGTAAATAAACTGTTCTTATGTGGATCAAAATACACAAGATAACATGTTCAAATAAGAAGTCACTACAACATGAGCACAGAGTGGCTTCTGTTTCCTGCATTACTAAAAAGATAACTGTGATTCCTTCTGTCGGATATACAAAGTTGTATTCCAGCTGAAATCATTATTAAACAAAACAGGACAATTTTATTAAAGTAAATAATTAGTATAGGCTGAGACATAATGTTTAACATTGGTCTTTTAGAGAGGAAAATAAATACCAATCCACTTCATGTGACTTTTCTTTAGTCAAATCTCTTCAGTTAAATTCATTTTATTATACACTTGCTGAATTTGTACTGGGACCTTTTTTAAGTACCCTTTAAGAAGTACTTTTGAGGTATTACTGTCCTGGCCAATATCTTTTATTTATTCATTTTGTGTAGACAAATCTGTATTCATGGATTGTGTTTTGCTGCTTCTAAAGCAAAAGGCCAGACTCTGTTCAAACCCTTTTTCAAAAGTTCCACGTGGAGCCTATTTTTATCTTTCCATTATAATTCCTATGAATGTTTGTGTGTTGTCTATAAGAACATGAGCCCTGAAACCTGCAGTAAAAACTACTTGTTGTTGATGGTATTATGCACAAGTGAAGAGGAAAAAATATTTACAGGTAATATGATTTTTATTTCAGTGCTGTTAAACTGCATCAAACAGTTTTCTGCACACACTTTGTGTAAAAATCATTTGGATCGCTCAGGATCGGTTCTAACACAGATCTTGTTGGTTTCATGTTCTCTTTCTCGGTTTGCACCTGATGTTTCCGTCTAAAATCTCCTGTTGTTTTATAAAACAGCTGTCACAGACTTTACCGGTTTGTGTTTAAAGTGTTTGGTGAATTAAGAACAAAACAGGTTTGGTAAAGAAACACATTTATTTCAAGCTCTAAACAACACTGAAGGTAGAAAGGAGAGTGTAAGCATCAGTGTCCGGCTGCATCAGATCACCACAACACGCACACATCACATGGAGAAATACCATGAAGTCAGACATTTCCCATGGAAACATTTTATTTGGGATGATTTCAGGGTTGTTGTGCTGAATATACTGAGTATGGAACACAATTATTTATTAAAGTCCTCCAAACTGTTTCACACCTGCCTGCTGTCCGTCGCCTGCTGCCAGGCGGCTCATGGGAATGATCTTCATGGTCGTCTCTTTCAGGGAGTACCAGCGGTTGTGCCATGTGACCCAAATGATGCCGTTGTCGAAGCCAAATTCACCTGCATCCTTTTCTGAGTATCTGCCACCTGGATGAAGGGAACACAGACAGTTTAGAGGAGACAACACATGATTTTGCTCTGTCTTATGTGCTTGGATGACATGTTTGTCTGTGTGTTTGTGGCAGGAAGTTGTAAATATATTCATGGTGCTTTAAACCCCTGCAGTTAAAGGGTTTAGCCCTGGTTGTAGCCACGTGCTCTTACCCTCGTAGTATTTGCCGTTCAAATGTGCAGCATGGCATCTGTTCATCCACCACCCGGAGCCGTCCTGTTGAGCACAGTTGCCGTCGTACTTGTCGTTGTCCTTGTCGAAGGTGCTGAACTGCATGCCGTTGTGTAACGTGTAGACCTTGTCACTGGGGTCGTCTCCAAAGTCGAAGCCATCGAAAGCATCTCCGGCGTCACCGCCCAAGTAGTAACCGTAGGTCAGACGATACATGTCGACCTCTGGCCCCACTCTGAACATGTTGTAGTCTGCATACCTGGAGAAAGAGGAGGCCGCGGGGAGGAGTGCAGGGTTTAGTATTTTTGGTCATTTCCATGGAGTCATATTTGTGTTCTTCAAAGCGAACCTCGTCAATCGGGGACATGTTTGCCTTGTGAGAGTGTCCCTTTGGTCGCCTCTTACATAATCTGTTATCGTGTGTGTGTGTGTGCACATACTTTTTGTTTCCCTCCCAGTCAACAAGCTCTATCCTCAGCACAGTGGGGACGGGGCTGGCGGTGGTCAGCAGATGCATCTTCTCGTTGCCGAGCCAGAACTCGGTGGTGTCGTCTGGGGAGAGGTAACCGAAGCCCTGCTTGTACTGGATCCAGTCCTTCTTGAAGTCCACTTTGCCGTTACGTCTCTGTGGACACGGGAAAAAATGTGATCAGTCAATATTTTTGTTATTGTTTCTATATTTGTTGAATTAAATAGTTTTCACATGAAATATCAAAGCGTAGTTCACTAAAGGACTGCGTAAAAATGATTATTTATCTCTAACTATAAGATAATCCTTTATTGATTCCCATTGGAGAAATTCAGGTATTAATATTATTATTATTATTATTATCATCATATATTGTAAATTTCTCTCATAATCAGTTTAATTGTGAAAAACAGCGAAATCTCTTCTGTCAAACATTCTTTTATTTATTACTTATGTTTTTTTTAATGGTTTCCAAGTTTTTACTTTATTTGTGAAGACCTTTGTAACTTTGTTTTTAGGAAGTGCTATTAAATAAATTTTATTATTGTTATTGGTAGTAGTAGTAGTAGAATACTACAACTTATTTTACAAAAATACATCTGAGTAGTTTTCTTTGTGGTTGAAGTGACACATACCCTCTGAATGACTGTGAAGCCGCGTCCATAGCTGTCAATCTCGCAATAGACCAGGAACTGCTCAGTGGCTTTCTCGGGCTTCACAAAGTAAAGACCGCTGGTGGTCCCACCCCTGTTTGCAATGTCCTGGCAATCTGCAGAAGAAGAAGAAGAAAAGCACGAGTCAATTTTACAGAATGACAAAAATATCGTTCTTAAACTTCCTTATTTCAGTTTATGATCAAATTAATTTACAGTTGTTGGTTCTGAATTATGTTTAAAAAGTTCTCTGAAATGAGGTCAAAACAAATGACATGTGGAATAAATCTGTTTACTCTGCGTTGATGCACCATATTGATTTTCTGACTAAACACTGAACAAGGACAAATGTTGTTCAGATGAGGAACGATTGAGAAACATCTTGTGAAATGGGAACGGCCTGAGGGTCAGAAAGGTTTGGTTAGATTTCTTTTTTTTTTTTTTTACCTTTTCCTGTGGTGGGTTGGATTTCAACCGTGTCTGTGCAAGGCTCATAGCATTTCTGCTGCAGCTGGATGGAGAGCTGCTTCAGGTCCACCATTCTCCTCTCGTTAGATGAGATCAGATTCTGAATTTCACTGAGGGGATAGAAACAAATATGAGAAGAATGAGGCGTTTTCAGAATCATGCCCGTGTTTCTTATTAGATAACAAGACATAAAATAGATCAAATAAGGAAATGAGAAGTAATTAGAAAAAGGCAAATCAAACTTGGGAATAGATGTAATTGAAGTGCATTTGTCATGAGTCTGAGTTCCGTTGTCTGGACGAGTCGTGTGGTGGAAAATCACCATCTAATCTGTTTTCACTTCAAACTGTGGACAAGCAGGTTGGCGTGCATTGACCCTGAGCAGAGGTTGTACTTTGTGAAAATACTCCATTACAAGGACAAAGTATAACATGATTTCTTTTAAAGTGTTATTCTTCAGTCTATATTTGACATATATCTAATAGTATTAAATCAGATAATTATCACTGCTTTTTTATTTTATTCATTTATTTCAAATAAAATGTTGGTGTTAATTTAAATACTATTTCTTGGCATCATAATTTATAAAATCAGATTTTGTAGGTCTGCCAAGTACTAATGTAGTAGAGTGAAAAGTATTTCATATCAGTACTAAATTACTTATAATAAATTGTATTGAGCTAAAAATTATACTAAATACAGTACTTGAGTAATTTAACTTTGTTACTGTTGTCTGTATAAAACATAACATCGTTGCTAACGAGCCATTAAAGGTTTTATTTGAGTTCTCATGGTAACTTACAATATTTGTTGTTCTTGTGCGATGATGGTCTTTTCAAAGTGAAGCACATCATCCAGCATACTCGACGACTTTTTTAAGTAAGTGTCTGAAAAGAAAAATCGAATCATTTGACCCAGTTTGATAAAACATCCAATATATTTACACCAAGTCAAATAAATCGCTATAACAGAGTGCAATGATCTTGTCATAGTTTGGTTTCAGGCACCTTGTGGGGAACTCTTTTGAGCAGCAGCAGTAGAATCTTTCATGTGGGTGATTTGTTCTTCGGCCCCCTGGGTCAGATTGGTGATGGTTTCCAGCTCTCTTTGCAAACTGCTCAAATCCCTGTCGACCCCTGGCCTGTAGCGCAGCAGGTAGTCAGCCACGCCGCATGTGGTGGGACAGTATTTTCCCTGAGTGCAGAGAGAGAAAGTGAGAAATGACAATCATGGTGTGACTCAGTGATAACAACAATCATGCAAGTCACACAGCAAAAACATGAAAGTTTAGTGTTCACTTCCGTTTACTCACAAAGCCGTCATTTAGGGTGCACGTCGGGGAGCTGTCTCCTCTGAGTTGCTGCAGAAAAAGAGCCAAAACGATTCAGATTGTTCTGCTGACGAAAACTGCAACATAGAAAATATCATTTGATTTGGTGGCTTACTGCAGAAGAGAAGGAGAAGAGTAACAGAAGAGCTCCTGCTGTTGTGAGAAGTGATGGCACCATGTTGCTCCAGCCACCAGTTGTGGTCTCGTCCTCTCGGAGAATGAGGAGCAGTTCGACTCAGTGGGATATTTATCTCAAACAAGGTCGTCGGGTCAGTGTTTGATTAGAAGTTCATATGCAAACATTCCACTCACTGAGCTGGGACAAAGCTATGACTCAAACTTCTGACTGCGGTCATTTTCCAGAATTAACAGAGACAGTTACTGACAAATCAACCACATGTGATTTATCTGCATGTTTGTGTTCTAAAGATGACAAACAAGTCCAAAAACTGATGACTCAGCTTTCTATGTCCAGGTTAGTGTAATCCATATGTTACAGATATCTTATCTTATTCCTGCATATTCCGGTTGAGCTTGTAACTGAGTTTACTTACTTTTTACTCATATTTGTCTTGTGATAAAGATCAGCAACAACACAGAAAGAGTCATGTAATAAAAAAAACAAAAAAACATTATTATACTGGTGCGTTGTATTCAAATATATTTATGTTTGTGAGGAAAATATTAAATTTAGATCAGCCACTGTCACTTATGAACTTTTAATGGGAACAACATTCTCCTATACAAAAGCTTATTTCTGTCCTGTATAGAGATAATAAAATAAAGGATGGAATAAAAAAGAAAAGTTTTTCCTCATCACTGTTTTCCACTGAGCTTGTTCGTGTGGGTAATCACTATAAATCTCTGTAAATAATATTGTCATACTTATACCTAGATCCTCCATTTGACTGTTACAGCAAACTGTCACTGTTGAAACAAGCAACTTGTCGAACATTCTGTTGTTGATGTTTGAACTCTGCAGAAAAAGGTTAAATGGAACTGATGTCCTGAACTGGCTGCACTGGTCATTTAAACCACCAGTGGGAGTGGAACCCCAATAAACCAAACAATCTGTGAACTCACTTGTGTTAGAATACAGAGTCATGCAGTGAATTCAGTAGCTCGGAGTTCGATGGCATTTTCCAAAAAACAGTAAACTGGATACATCAGTGAGTCTCTGCCTGAGCCGACACACAAAGTAAAGACGCATAAATCAGGTTTCTCTTTTAACACGAACATTTGCTTCTAGAGGTGTAACGTAAAATCCTGGTGAATAATCTGATCATTCAACGTCAGGCAGTCAAAAGATTCAGACACAATCAAGGCTGGAAACTAAATGAACAATTAGTTTGAGTTCTTGCAGCGTGTCGTGCAACAAGTGTGACAAAGGTAAACAGGACGATCATATGACCACACACGCTGGTGGTCGCTGCTGTGCTGCAGAGGACAGAAATTTAAACTTACTAACGACCTGATGTATTTTATGTTCAAAGACATCGAACTTTATCGTATTTTCACATCTAACTTCACAACTCCAGGAAAATAAAATCAACCAATCACCTCACGACCTCCTTCCCACATGTCTCTGGTTTCATGCCTCTGTGTTTGTCTTGAGTCACAGTAAATGCAAATACTCGTCGTTGTCCTGTAACAGATGAGTTTGAAGCTTCTGCGTGTGTATGACAGCTCTTTTCCTTCTGAGATATTTCTGTTGTTCCAGTTCTGTCTCCGTCTCGCGCCATGAATCTTCCTGCTGTATTTTTTACAAGAGTTCAATTAAAGGTCAAGTGTGTATGATTTAGGTGAAAGGGAACTATTGGCAGAAATTTAATGTAGAATAAACCTCATGATGTTTTCACTAGTTTGTTTCATCTAAATTGTATGAATTGTAGTTTTCTTCACCCCAGAAAAGGCCGTATATATTTAAATACTTTATATTTACATTGAGGGGACCCTCTCTACAGAGGCCGCCATGTTTTTGACATTAGTCCAGACTGAACAAACTAAACACCTTTTGAGTTTTTATCACAATTAAAGGCTACCACAGGTTCTTTTTCATGTTTGGAAGGGGAGGGTGAGGTGAGGGGTGTTCAGCTGCAACATGCAATTTCAACACTATCACAAAATTCTACACACATAAATATGAAAACGGTTATACGGTTTATATTCTCCAGGTTGCAGGAGGCGAACACAAAACAAACAGTGAAGACACATGTGAGCAAACAGAGCAAACTAACGATTTATCCGTCCGCCCCATGTTGACGTTAGATGATAAATCTTACCTTAACCACCTCCCGGTGACCTGGATTTTATTATGTGGGAGAAACTGGCTCATGATGGATATAAAACCTCGCTGACCTGAGAGTGAACTGCCAGGGACATGAACCTAAACAGTGCTGAACTTTTGCTGAACTGGCCTCTTTGTGCAGAAACACCAGATGGAAAGTTTCTCTTTCTCTCTCTAAGTGCCATGAAGATGTGGAAACTCTCTCTGACCGCTGTGCTCTGGGTTTCTGTTCTTGTTCATGCTGGCAGAATACTCATTTTCAGCCGTCTTTTCATCAGAATACAAAAAAAAAACATATAATCTGTGCAATTTAATTAATCTGCAGTTGCAATCCCCCTCAATGTACCCTGTAAATCAAGTCATAGGAATATGCTGCTGAGTCATTGTTTTTCTTTGAAACCATCAGGCTTTAGGAAATGGCTCCACCGGTAATCAACTTAGGTTTTAAGAAATAAAGTCGACATAGTTCACAGGTTGTCTGACCAGGAATTAAATTTAAAGAGCCTTGTTCTGGTCCCGCATTCACCACAGCGATAAGTCTGGAGCCAGTTGACCATGGTGTAAATCTCCCCCTAACACAGGGCAAAGGTTTGTTGTGATGCCAACTTGGGGTTCAACCTCAGGTCAGCAACGGTAAGTCGACTCAGCTGAAGGTGGTGTGATCCCGGCTGGAACAGGCAACGAGGCTGACGCTCTGTTGTCCACACAACACACAGGATTTACGTTAATAAGTGATTCATATCACAGGAAACACGTTTTGTATGATGCAGTTTTCTAAAGTTTTCAATGAGTTGACCACAGCGTGTTACTGGTAATACTACAGCACCGTTGTATCAATTATACTTCGGTTTATAATTTGGTCTTTCAGCTGCTCTTCGATAAAAGACAGACACATAAACATTAGTACTGGCTCCAATAACCAATCAAACTTTATTGGTCTTGCCTCGTTCATGCATCTGTTGGCTCATTGCTCATTTTTCTATTTATTACTCAGACTGATTTATATGTATTGGTTTTGTCTTCTCTCCAAATCACATCATGTTGCATGTTACAGCTAAAGTCCTTGTTACCCTGACACTCACAGTGATGTCTATTTTTCTGACAACATATTGGTTAGTTGTCAGCTCGTTTTCTGATTTCAGATACTGTACATCAGACTTCTCTATGGTCATCTTCAGATATGAGCTTTGCCTTTCACGTGTGAAGAACGCAGCAGGAGATTGTCCAAGTCAGACACGTTCACAACAACAGGAGAATGTCTGTAACATTCAGGCCAAAGCAGAAATTCCAAAGCAGAAATCATGTGTTTTTGTTTTCAGCACATTGCTTTTTTTTTTTTTTTTCACCAAAAGCTCTGGAATCTCGTCGCCTTTCCAAGTTTAAATCTTCATCAGGTTCTTCTGTGTTTAACCCGCCTCTTTATCATCCTGAAATATTTGTGTTCATTTTGTTTTTATTCAGTTTTGAGTCCGTCTCGTGTTAGAAAAGTCAGCAACACTCCTACTTGCCTGCTGTGAATTCTCCGGACAATATCCTGCTGTATTCTCACACTCAGGTACTTTCTGGACATTTTACTTGGGCCTGGCAGGAAAAGTTATTTGGGGTGAATAACTCACCAATTATTCTTTTACAATTAGACAATTAGTTATAATTGATAACTTTACTTTGAAAAAAACTCAATTCATTGGTGTTTTACCAATTGAAGCAGTTGGTTAACATAAAGTACCAAAGTGCCAATCTATCAGAATATTTATTGATTATTAAAAATAAGCTCTGAACATAAAAGATTAAGCTCAAAATGTTGTTAATTTTTAGTTTACTATCATGAAGACAACATTATTAACCAAACATTTACAGATTGGAGCGGTGTAGGATTGTGTTGGCTGATGCACTTTGCAAACAGTGATAACCTGCTTTTGCTTATCATTAAGCTTATCCTCTTTCCAGGTTAAAATAATTTCAAATCTGAGTGGTATAGTGCTGCAGGCTCATTAATCACACTCACACACTTCCTCCAAATTATTAAAAGTAGGGTATATGTACACTTTGTGGGTCAAACTGGGTTTTCCACAGTTTGAAACACCAGCAAATATGTTCCTCTTAAAAGGATTTTACAGATCTGGGTCATGAAACAAAAACCGGCTGAAGTGTTTCTCAAGATATTTTGGGTTTAAAGATGAGAGTGAAACCGAAGCCAACGGGATTATGGTAATTGGGTCAGAGGAATGTTTTATCTCATCATAAAGTTCCTCTGAGATCCTGGATTGATGATGGGACAGAACAGAGCGGACTCTGTGAGTCAGTGAAGACTATTACTGACCGAAGTCAGTGTCTGGAGGTTAATACGTGAATAGTAAAAAGAATAACAACAAAACTAAGAGAATCAACTTTGAGTGAACTGAGATACACTATATGAGATACACTATATGAGATACACTATATGAGATACACTATACACCTACAAGAGCTTTTATGATGTGCCATGTTTTCTACAAGATTTTGGAAAGTGTCTGTTAGTGCCCATTCATCCAGAGGAGCATTGTGATGTCAGACACTGATGTTGGACGAGAAGGTCTGGCTCGAAATCTCTGTTCTAGTTCTTTCCAAAGGTGTTTGATGGGATTGGGGTCAGTGCTGTGTACGGGCAAGCCAAGTTCTTCCACACCACCTCACCCAACTATGTCTTTATGGACCTTTCTTTGTGGGCCTTCACCAAAACTGTTTCAACAAAGTTGGAAACATAGGATTGTCCTGGTAACCTAAGGTATATAGATTCCCTTCACTTGAACTAAGGGATTAGTCCAACCAATGGCAATGGAACTGAATGAAACACACAGTGTATATTTCTACTTTTATCTTCATTTCAGTTTGTTTCTCGTTTGGTAAAGCTGAACTAGAGAATGTTTTTTTCTGTTGTCGTGATGAACAAAGTCTCTTACATTGATGAATGTTGTTTATTTGTTTGTTTACCAAATTCAACAATGGACGTCCTTTGACCCTTAACAATACATGCTAAGTTTGAAGCCATTAAGATGAATGGTTCTCGAGATATGCATTCCACATACAGACAGACAGACAGACAGACAGACAGACAGAGAGTTTTAAATTTGTAAATAAGCTATATGATTAAATGACGTGTAATTCAAAATGCTCTATTTACGCGAGACTGGAGATGGTACATGTTATTATCAATATGACTTTCTTCTGTTTTAAATGACATGAGGACTGAACAATGGAGCCTCTTACCTCCAGTGGTTAATCTCTTTACAGCCTCCAGTGAGTTAATGAAGTGTTGTTGCTATAGAGTAAATCCTACAGGAAACGTGACTGAAAATATAAATACAAGTAGAAACACATGTGGAGGAAACAACCGGTGGAGACAGTGCTCCTCTTATACTTCACTAACTTTTCCAACAAACCTAACTTTTGAAAATAATGTTGGTTCCATGAGACCCCCTTTACAGATGTGTCATCGTGAGCTAGAAGAAGTCTCTTTTGGGTTGCCAGGTTGTGAGGAGGGTAGACACCATCAGAGGGGAGTTTTCTCTCATGAATGATTTATAATTATAAGGAATAAAAATGAATCTCCTGCTTCACAGCTAATTCTCCTCTCTGCTGCGTTAGGACAAAAAAAGATTAATGGAAAGCTGCTGCACATGTGTTGAAAAAACCCTCAAGAATGGAGTAATGCGCACGTGCAAGAGGTCACTCGTGTCCTCGTGCCACAGTGGATAAAAAGCCCGCTCCACTCACGCTCTTGCAGACATCCCCGTTACACGCTCACGATGCTGCAGCTGCTGACCTTCCTGGTGGAGAAGCTCTCCCTCCTCTCCAACTTCAAACTGTTTGAGGGCAGCTGGTTGGACGCAGAGGAGCAGCAGGAGCAGCAGGAGGAGCAGGAGCGTCCTGCGCAGCGCGGTGCGCCCCCGCGCCGAGGAGACCTGCTCGAGGTGCCGAGAACCATTTTTACGCACTTCGGTATTTACCTGGGTGACAACAAAGTGGCTCACCTGATCCCAGACATCCTCCCCGCGCTGACAAACGACCGGAAGCTCATCGACTCCGTCATCTCGAACAAGAGGCTCATCCTCGGCTGCATGTACAAGCGTGCCACGGTGCGCGTCGACACCCTGGAGGATTTTGCGTATGGCTGCAACATCCTGGTGAACCGCATGGATAAGACGATGAAGGCGCAGGCGTTCCACAACGAAGAGGTGGCCAAGAGGGCTGAGAAACACATCGGAGCGATCCCCTACAGTCTGCTGTGGAATAACTGTGAACACTTTGTGACATTCTGCAGATATGGACATGCAGCGAGCAGGCAGACAGAGAAGGTATGATCCACAGCAGAATCAAACAGCTATGAATAAACGCATGAATGCAGTAAAAACCTAATAATCTTTAGGTGAGGCTCAGTGATTTCATAGGAAAAGCATAGAAACACAATGCCTCATTTAAACAACACATTAACTTGTTAGGCTCTTTTTGTAAACAGTGCCGGATTAACATCTTTGACGGCACATGGGCAAAATGTGTGGTTGCCCCCCCATATTAGGTGTTCAAACCAGACACAGGATATCTCTGATAACACAGATCCTGCCTCTCTAGCTTGGTCGGTTGAAACATGACACCAACTTCAATTAATCTATCATCTGATGCTCCTTTTTCCCCCAAACAGCTCGATGCATAGTTTAAAAATGTGTCATTATTTTATGGTCAGCAGATACAGACTTAATCACCACTTCTGCTACAAACCCAGTCAACCCAGAGTTCACGTTGTCGTCCATTTAACTGGTGCACATTCCAAAACAAAGGTGAAAATCTAATTAAGCAACCGAGTGAACTGGCTGTAACCTCACAAACTGATTTACAGCAGCAGTTAAACAGTTGGAAGCACGTTTGAAGATTTTTTTTACACTTTCCAGGTGACGACTGAGCGGAAACAAATCCAATAATCCATCAAACGTGAAGTTACTGAATTTCTTTCTTCTCCCTGTAGTTCTGCCAGTGTCTGAAATCAATCATCAGAGACCAGCGCAGCGTCATCATCTCGGGGCTGCTGGGAATTATCTCCATTGTGTGTTTTGGCATGGCGGCTTCAACTACATTACCCACAATTCTCATCCCCTTCACGCTGTGGATGGCTGGGTAAAGGGGCCCAGCACAAGGGGAAGAACTGAACTGAACTTTTGGCGAAGAAGGACTGGACACCTCTTCCAGACTCTTGTCATGTGACGCCTTTAAAGTCTGCCTCACAACAATATCTTCATTTTACTGAGTAGACTGTGTTGGATGTGATCTGCATTGATTTTGTCCCTTATGCCTTATACTTAAAAAGTGTGGTGAAATACATGAAATCTATGGTATAAGATTAAATTTAGTGATTCATTTTTAACATTTGCGTCACCACAGAAGTGAATATAAAGAGATACATGTAGCAATCTCAGAGTATCGTAATGTACTGTGTATATATATATATAGCTGCTTTTTTATCGTATTGTTCTTAATATAAACCTGTAAATATCACAAATGTTTAATAAACCATTTATTTTTATGTGTGTGTCTTGAGCCTTCATACATCTGCACTAACATGACCGTGGAAGCAGAGCTCTAAATTAACGATAACTAGCAGAGAGCTCGGAGAGTGTGCCAAAGCTAACGCTCTTATTTTGCCATGTTAAAGAAAGTGCAAAAAAGAATTGGTTACTACCCGGGGCCTCGGCAGCATCTCTTCCTCCGCTCTCTCCCCCCATTTCATGCGTATTATTTAATTTAGATTAAGATAAATAAAGATGCACAGAGATGACTACGTTACAGCCTACATTAATCCATCATTCAGTGGAAAAAATAAAGCTTTTGTTTGTATCGTAAGGGCGTTGATGTTTTTTTTCGGTCCGTGTGATGAAAGTTAAATATATATATATATAAAAAGATAAATAAAGATGAAATAAATTAGAATAACTAAAATAGACAATAGGCAATTTACGGTGTAGAAAAAAAAGCAGCATAAAAGAAATTACGATAGATTTACATAGAAATATCTGAATAATAATGATAATATAACAACAACAACAATAATAACAAGAAGAAGATCATCTATGAAATCCTGGATCTGCCCATCTATCTGCATGCCCCCCCCCCCCTTATCAAACTGCTTCTGTAATTTCAGAGGACTCAAACAAACAGACAAACAAACAGAAATGAAAACATAACCATCATGCTGGAGGTAAAAAACAATCGCAGGTGGTCTGTTAGGTTGAGCTATAAAACTGGTTTGGGTTCAAATCACCTAAAACACAGTGTCGATATCACACACTGTAAAAAATGCTGAGGAATAAGTTGATGCCTGAAGCAGCGTCATCAAACATGAATTATATTTCTATATGACATTTATAAATCCTGGGTTTAGCCTGATGTGTGAAATATGACTCCCGAGTTTTGCTGTGGGTAAAATTACATCTTTCCCTTCTCGCATTCTTCAAATTTCTTTTATTTCCAGGAAAGTGCTGAATAATGATGAGTCAAATTGCAGACCCGTCTAATCCATGAATAAAAGGCTGTTTTATTTGTGATGGCTCAATATCTGTGACCTTTTTAAATGAGGATTTAACTTTCAGCCTTCTTAACGAGGACCCTCGACCTTAATACGCCACGAACAAAGGCCGGGTTTCAGAATCCCACCACACAGCAGAGTGATTAGCGAAAGCTCCTTTATTTCTGTCAAAATCAAACTGAAGCATTGACCAATATTTAATCCTACTAACCACGACGGCTCCTCCTTGTTCTGAAGTGAATAAAATGCTCATGTGTGACCCGTTGCCACACACTGCCACCATGTTTCTCTACCAGCTACTCAACTTCTTCTTCGTGGCGTCTGAAAAGGAGGAGGACGACTCTAAATATGACTTGTCCCTCTACAAGCGCGGTGACCTCTTACAGGTCCCCAGGACGTTATTCACACATTTCGGTATCTACCTGGGCGACAACCGCGTGGCTCATCTCATCCCGGACATCCTGCCCGTTATTTCCAGGAATAAATCAGCCATAGCCAAGACGGTGTCGAACAACCGGCTGCTGCTCGGGGTTATCACCAAGGTTGCCAGCGTCAGAGTGGACTCGGTGCTGGATTTCGCCTATGGTTCGGAGATTTTCATCAACCACATGGACAAAGTGTGCAGCCAGCCGCCACTAGATGGGGATGAGGTGGCTCGGAGGGCGGAGAAACTCTTGGGCTCGGTCACCTACAGTTTACTGTGGTACAACTGTGAGCACTACGTCATGTACTGCAGATATGGGATGGCCATCAGCTACCAGACGTACCAGGTACAGGCTCCAGCTTCCAGTCACCTTTTGCCATTCACCCATTCACACACATTCATATTGTGCATCAGCATTTCTCTATCATATCTCACTCACACACGCTCAGTACCTTGTCCGAGGACACTTGGGCACGTGGAGGGAGACAGGGATTGGACCGCGAACCTTCTGGTTGGTGGACGACCCGCTGTACCTCCTCTTGAGCCACAGCTGACCCCAGGAATGTCTGAAATAAGAGGAACGATTACAACTGCAACTATTTTAATGCATAGAAATGCCTTGCGGTGGGTTTTACTGAGGAACCTGGTTGAAGCTGCTGAAAATGAAAGTTTGTAAAATGCATTCAGAACTGGTTGGTGGACTTGAATTCTGCAGTTTTCTCAGTAGGAAGATGTTAATCTATCTTTTGAAGTAATCTCTATCAGCTTTGTTACACAGAGACGACCTGTTCTGGCTTTGATTTCATTTGTGTACTCTTGCTCAACATTTGCTGGGATTGTGTTAGAGTTAGTGGTTCGAGTTAATAAATAAAAGAATAAATAGTATATCTTAAAATACCACAAATGGGATTTGAAATATTACTTGAAAAGCTGATTTTCTTTTTTTTAATTCACGGTAATCTTTAATTCCTCCCAGAGTTTCTATTTGTATCCTGGAGAATGTTTCATTACAAAGGTCCTGGGCACACAAAGTCACAGCTGATCACACAAGCAGCATTTGAAATAGCTCTAGTTATTTCAAAGGGCTTGAGACAGAGACAGATTACTGGACAGTTTGTGCGTAAAGAAGGTGTGTGACTGAAGAAAAACACCTTCATGCTGATGTTTGGACTCATGAGGATATTTTCACAGCGGACGTCAGTTTGCTTCAGTCCACTGGAGTGAAACTTTATTCACCAGGCGAGTGGCTCCACCTAGAGTTTCACTGTCTTCGTGCCGGTAATGAGGACTGAGATTTCTCTCTCAGAGCAACACTGATGACTGACAAGACTCATGTCAGCTTTTTGAAACAGCAGATTTAAAACTTCTGGTCTCACGCGATCAATTTAGTTCAAGTTTCACAGTTATTTTAAAATCTTTACACTGATGTTATTTAAAAATTTAGTTAAAATGTAGGTAAAAATTTTGGACTTCAGCTCAGAGTCACAGAACTTCCAGAGCTGAACATTTAGATGTTAAAATAAAGA